TTAATATAAATAATGAACATTTAAACTTACCCCATGTCACACTCCGCACAAAAATCACTAGCAGTTGCCATGACGGTGGCTTACAGGCAAGTGACTACGTAATAAGATTGGGTATTGTTCCGATTGGAAGGCAATTGATGTAACAAGGCAGTAGCATTGTTAGATTGTTAACAATCAATCAAGGTTATGATAAAGATTATAGTAATGGTAAATTAACCACATTACACAGAATACAACATATAATCTATAAGCATAAATATAATTGAGGAAATTTCATTATAAATAACATAAAATAATGTATAAAAATAATTCGTAATCGGCAATGATTCCAGGTTGGTTGAAAGTGGTGCACCGAAAACGTGACCTTCATAGAAAACGCAATTATAGAAAATGGAATAACAGAAAATGAGACATAGAAAACGAGCTTATAGAAAATGTAAACATAAACAAAGAACTGCCTGTGGAAGGATGTTTTGGACTTAGGCTCTGCGCGGCGCGCAGCGCCGCGGTTTTTTTTCCGTTTAACGGTAAATATAATGCCTGTGCATCTTAAAATTACCACTATCCTACTCTATTTCTTCCGCTCTATAAGATGGCGGTGTCCATTTTCCTCTATCTACGCGCGTCGCGGTCTTCAACCTCTACCGTTACGCTTCATGCCAGGTTGGGTATTAGTTCTATATCAGAGTAATTTGAACATATCTACAACCATGCCCTTGGATTTTCCTTATCTAAGCAATAGTTTTAGCTGTATATATCCCTAAGAGAAATTACCAAACCGAGTCATGTCATGCAATATTCATAGTCGGATCGAGAGACTGCTGGGATATTTTTCCGGCGTTTTTTATTTAGTTATTCTTAGGACCGAGTGGACATACATGCTAAGTTTGCTACAGTTTGACATTTCTGTGATTTTCATCCCTATTCTGTGCGTGCCTAAAAACGATAGGACCGCACCCGTCAGGCGAAGTCCCCGACTCCCGCCAACAATTGGGGGATCCCGTGGGGAATCGGTGGTGGTGGTGGTGGGGGGGGGGGGATTTCGTTCATACAAATGCATTTAACGTGCCTAAAAACGATAGGACCGCACCCGTCAGAGACGAAGTCCCCGACTCCCGCCAACAATTGGGGGATCCCGTGGGGAGCAAAGAGCAAAGGAATGTTGGAAATTGAAAATCCGAGCCAAGGATAGTATTTCAGATGATAAAGAAAGTGAAAAATGGATCCCGAGAGAAGATTCGGCCACGGATGATTCGACACGGTGTTGCGCGAGCGAACGAGCGAGTGAACCGCATCTTAAACGCACGAACGACCAGTAGGATCGCCGTAGGAACCAAAAATACCTCCTAACCCGGGGTCTACTCCCCCGGACCCCCTCCCGATTGCCGTATTTCCCGATGCAGGCAAACACTTAGTAGGAGTACTTCAACTCTGGTTTTACGTTCTTATCCGGTGTACGCTTCAAAGCTGCAGCAACAGTCCTTGAATCTTTGCCATAAAACTATGCGAAAGTGCTCTTGAAAGTTGGTCAAGCTGTCCTTCACATCAGCAAAACTGGCAAATTCAGTTCCAACTTTGAAGGAATCCATAATCGATGATCGACCCTTAGCCATGAACAATGAACAACACAAAAACAGCGCCAAAGTTTGTATGCAAGGCTAATGCGCGAGTGTGTGTTTGCGCGAAAATAGTTAGTGCGCATGTATGCCGGACGAATAGCCAAACTATTACAAAATCCGGTGCCGGAACAATATCCACGGCGAAAAAAAAAAAAATGCGCCACAGCTAAATGAAAGACCAAGCTAAAACGAGAGCAAAATAATAACACCTTTCAGAGTAAAGCCAAAATGCTGTCGCTGTAAACGCCGACACCTGCTTAAACCTTCAAGATCGTCACTGTTATTCACCAGGAAGTTGTCGTGAATGGGATGTCGAAATCTGGTAGTGCAGGAAACAAGTGGCTTCGGTGACGTCAGGGCCTCGGCGACAGAGGGGGTTACGGCTGCAAAATGTTCGAACTGCATTGCCGAAGGAAGAGGAATATGTTTTAAAAATTCAAAAGCAATAATAAAAGTTATCAATCAATCCATTACTTATTAAAACACACAATACATGGTTCATCACCAATTAAACTGAATCAAATATACACACGATAAATGTACGGTAATCACCATCAATGAAACTGAATCAAATATAAATGAAATCTCAAAATACGAATAATAAATATGAACACAACAATAGTCCGCCTTTCCTCCTCGGCTGCTGGAGGTAGACTACCCTCCAGCCAGCAAACCTTCCACGGAATACAAAGCCAGGGAGAATTGTCAGGGAGCGAATGGCCAATTCGACCCCAAACGGCCCCATTTCCTCAGGCAGGGCGGCCATTACCGTACATAATGAGTGGTAACAGCCAAGGCAAAATCTCTCAGGGTGGGCGGTCCATAACAAGCCAATGAACTCTGTCACCCACTCTTTTTATAACGTTAATACTCGTCCTCTT